ATTAAATAAAATAAATAAAAAATATTCATATATATAAACATTCTCGAAAGTAAATAATAAAAGGTAACCTAGCAATTTAAACTACAAATTACATGACAATATAAATGTGATACAGAATTCGCAGTCCTTTTGAGCTCTGGGCAAACTGATGTGGCCCTGATGGCTGGAGGAGAGACAGCGAGCGGTTTGGGTCATAGATTATGATCGGTGAAGTGCGCAAAGCAGCAGAATTTTTTATGACTAGGAGCAGCGAAAAATTGCTGAGCACATTCTCCTGACGTGCACGTGTGATACTTCTGTTGTGCCTGCTAGTCATATGTGTCCGGAAGTTGATACCCAGAGTGTGTTTTCATGTTTTTTATGTCCTCTTTCTATCCAGCCCAACGGGAGCAGTCATGGGAAGGTGCACAACCCGTTCCTGCCCACTCCCATGTTGCCGCCTCCTCCGCCTCCCCCAATGGCGCGACCCGTGCCCTTGCCCGTGCCAGACTCCAAACCTCCCTCCACCTCCACTGAGGGAGGCGGCAACTCCCCCACCTCTCCAAGTGAGTACTACAGCCCATCACCTGCTGTCACACTCAACACTTGATCCTGAACGCAAAGTGTCTCGGGTTTCCCAAGCATGTGAAAGCTTATCTTCAGTGTTTTTCATAATGAATAGAATTTCCCATCAAACATACGCAGTGTCCGTATCAAGCCTTCCTCTCAACAGCTGTACTGCTCCAGATACAATATTGATATTCATTTTGTGTGTGTGTGTGTGTGTGTTTGTTTAATTCACCACAGCCTACTCCACGCCGAGCACGTCTCCCGCTCAGCGCTTTGTCAGCGTGGGCCCCAGAGACCCCAGCTTTGTAAATATCCCTCAGCAGCCTCAGGTGAGTACACATGCACAGATCCACCGAATCCCTAAAAGTACATCAAGAGTGCTTGTTGTCTGTCATAATAGGCTTTCAGCACTGTTATGCCAGCTCATATAACTCGCTCACTCGCTGTGAGAGCTCATAGCTGATTTATTGTGTGTAATTGGCATGTTCAGACTCAGATTACACGGCACGGTGGACGCAACCTTGATTTATACCCCTCACACACATGTACAATCGCTTACATGCTACAAATTAGTTGTCATATGCTACAATTTATAATTTGACATGGCTGTTACAACATTTGGTCATTTTGAGGTTGTCAAGATCAACCAATAGCTGATAAAACAAACTGTTCATCTTCAATGAACATTTACTCAACATTTACTCAAGCATAAACAATTTATTATGAGTCAGTTCTATGTTGAGTAAATGTTGTTTAAACGTTAGTTAGTTTTTCGGTTATCAGTTTGTGCATTAGGCCTTTAAATCCAGTATTGGTACCGCAACTAATATATTAACGGAATAGTTCACCCAAAAATGAAAATTCTGTCACCATTAATCTGTATAAGTTTCTGTTTTCTGTTGAACACAAAAGATGATATTTTGAAGAATGTTGGTAACCAAGCAATTAACAGTAGCCATTGACTTCAATAGTATGGAAGAAAATACTATGGACATCAATGGCTACCGTCAACTGTTTGGTTATCAACATTCATTTTTGGGTGAACTATCCCTTTAATACAAATTGAAATGACTGTTACAACATTTGGCTGTTTTGAGGTGATCAGCCGATAACCAATAAACAGTGTTGCCAAGTCCGTGGTTTTCCCGTGGAATTGGGCTACTTTAACACTGTTGCCGTGGGTTGTTTTTCATGTCCGCGGGTTGAAGCGACTACAATAACATGATATTTATCCCCTGGAATGCGAATTTTAACTGGGGACCCCCTCGAAACACAATTGGGCTAGTTTTGGGATAGTTTTGAGTAGCGATTGGGCGGGTTTTCTTGTGAAAACCTGGCAACCCTGCCAATAACATAAGCTGTTAAACTTCAGTGAACATTTACACAACGTTTACTCAACATTTACTCAAGCATAAACGTTTTGTGATACAGAACAAAGCTAGTCACTTCAGCTCTCTTCGTGCTAGTTCCTAAGTCAGTTCTGTATTATAGTGTTAAATGTTGAGTAAATGTTGTGTAAACGTTCGTTTAAGTTTTAATGTCAAAAAATATTTAGACACTTAAGCCTTACCTAAAATTTATGAGTGTACTTGCAATAGATATAAGATTTCGAACCAGCTAGAGGTACACAGCCTATAACCCATAAACAGTGTTGCCAAGTCCGTCGTTTTCCCGGGGAATTGGGCTACTTTAACACTGTTGCCGTGGGTTGTTTTTCATGTCCGCGGGTTGAAGCGACTACAATAACATGATATTTATCCCCTGGAATGCGAATTTTAACTGGGGACCCCCTCGAAACACAATTGGGCTAGTTTTGGGATAGTTTTGAGTAGCGATTGGGCGGGTGTTCTTGTGAAAACCTGGCAACCCTGCCAATAACATAAGCTGTTAAACTTCAGTGAACATTTACACGTTTACTCAACATTTACTCAAGCATAAACGTTTTGTGATACAGAACAAAGCTAGTCATTTTAGCTCTCTTCGTGCTAGTTCATAAGTCAGTTCTGTATTATAGTGTTAAATGTTGAGTAAATGTTGTGTAAACGTTCGTTTAAGTTTTAATGTAAAAAAATATTTAGACACTTAAGCCTTACCTAAAATTTATGAGTGTACTTGCAATAGATATAAGATTTCGAACCAGCTAGCATTTATTTTACAACTAAAACAGGATGAACACAAATTTCAAGCAAACCTTTTCATTTAAAGTAGGTATCAAATGATCAAACATTGATATTAGGGATGTGCATCTCCATAACTGAGGCCAATTCGATACGCATCTCGATGCATAGCCAACGATACGATACATACAAATATATTAGAAATGATGCATCAGGATACAAATGCCAACTTGTATCCGATGCACAATATTTTTTACTTTTACGCTAATGCACCAATGCGAATCGGTGAATCTTACCATCCCTAATAGATATTATACTAGTCTGTAGTTATCATGAGTCATTTAAAACTCATATCGCTCAACATCTACTGTTAATATATTCATAAATGGACATCAGGATCACCCTGTTAATGTAAATGAACTTGTGTTTGTTTTTTGCAGTCGTGTAAATGCTAATACCTCTGAAATGCCGCCTGTAACCTTAATCGTCACACACACATATCTGCAATGACAAATACAGCCTGTACCGCCACCTGCACTCGCACAAACAGACAAAAAAAGAGCACGAGTTACCTCTGTAAATGCAGCTATAACACACCAACACACACACAGCTGAGATGATACCACGCTCATAGAGAAACGCTCAAGACTGGATTGGATCAGAGAGAGATTGTGTGTGTGTGTGTGTGTGTGTGTGTGTGTGTGTGATATGTCCGGAGGCCTGCAGCAGCCTCCCATCGATTTATTGACTGTGTCGCAGGCCGCAAGACACGCATCCCCCAGTAGAATGGAGGCAGGTGTTTGTCAGGCCGGCTGGGAGGGGAGCGGGGGGTTGTTATTATTTATTGTTTTTATTTATTTATTCCTCCTTCCCGCCTCTGCCTCCCCTTCTCTCTCTATCTCTCTCTCTCTCTCTGTCCTTCTCTCTATCACCTTTTCCTCTCTCCCTCCCTTTTTTTCGAGCTCATTTGGTGGCTAAGGTTCTGTCTCTCTATTTGTATATTTATCTGTGTGTACTAGGTTTCTACTGCTATTTATCTGTTCTTATGCTTGTTGCCTATTTAGGGGTTTGACAAATGGAGTTGTTATAGTTTTTTCAGTTCATTTTTGTTTTCATTTTGTAGTCCAGAGCACATAATTGCACTTCAGTTTTTGTTGTTTTGTAAACTTTTTGTAGTTTTTGAGTTTTATTTTGGTTAAAAAAAATTTTGTTTGTTTTTTTGTTGGTCATAAATAGTTGTACTGTATCAGTATATGTATATAATATGTATAAAATATAGTAATGTATATAATAAAATTTATTAATAAATCTATATATATATTGGGATAAAAGCACATCATTTTTAAATTATCGATATTAAATAATATCAATATTAAATTGATATTAAACAATATTTATTGTATACAGACACACACACACACATTATTATCATTTCTGATTCAATTCATATTTGGTTTTGTTTTATTCTCTAACACTCTGAAACATTATAGTCGCATTTTAGGTTTGTTGTTGTTTTGTAAACTTGAGTTTTGATTTTTAGTTTAGTTAATGAAAATATTTTTTGTTCTCATCTTACTATTTTAGTTTGTAACGCACTAACACTCTTAAACAGTCGCTTTTGTTTCAGTTAATTTTTGTTCTGTTTGTTTGTTCTTTCATTTGATGTTCAGGTCGCTTCATTTTAACATCGTAAAACGATGTTCATGTGAAAATGAACAAATAATCAGCCTTTCAAACACCTTAATTGATGCAAGCAGGTGCAAGGCAAAACACTGCTTGTTTGCTAATTTTATTATACAGTACTTATTTAAAAAGCAACTTTATCATTTTACTACATATCTGAAGTTGAAGTTTAGGCCATAACTTTGGTTTTTAAATAACTATGAGGATTTTCGCAAGCTATTTATCGTTCTATAGAAGCGAGGGCAGCGAAACTCTTAGATCAGCTGCGAGAGACATCTCCCAAGTGCCGTCACCCACTGTGTCAGTGAACTCTTTGAGGCTCTGTCTAGCCAGACAGTGATTGGACTGTGAGTTTATATTAAAGCACTGTATGAGTCTCAGACTGGCCATATTGACGAGCCTGTGACCCCACGGCAGGGTTCGGTCGCACCATTTCATTGGCCTAATAAGCTGGTGTGGACCACCCTGGGGCGGACAGGACAAAAGTTACCCGCGGTGGCCGGCGTGTTTCGGGGGTGGGGTACAAAAGAGAGCGAAAGTGACGGGCAGACGAGAATGATGTGACCCTAACTGTAAACATTCCTAGTGGCCCAGCCATGGTAACCAGGCAGAGAGCGAGAGACGGGACAGTATGATGGAGGGGTCTGCCATGGGAGGAGGGGACGGGAATGAAAGAGCAGGGTGGTGGGATGGTGGCAGCAATATTAAATACTTATAATTTTAAATATAAATGCAGCATTTTATGCAGTGTATTTGTTACACATTATGTACAATATATAATTGCGTACAAATTGTATATGCATTATGACACTGTATATCAAATTAAATAAATAATTATTACATAAAATAATATTTGAAAAATGTGAAGAAAAATTTTTTTTTTGTAATAAATAAAATATGTTTTTAATAATTTGTGTAATAAAATATTTAATATATATTAAAAAAAAAATTTTTTTTGGAGTAATAGAAATTATAAATGTTTTTATGTAATAAAAAATACATCATATATATATTTGAACCCTGATCTGCTTGCATGCTTCACAAAAACCAAAATCAATCAATTCTGATCAATAAAGCACAGAAAAACTGCAAACACACATGCACAGGCCCGTAATCTGCGTTTAATTGCGCAGCGTGCAGGGACTGTAGCCTGACCCCGGTCCCAAAGCAGTGCAGATAAAGCAATGATTCATAAACAGCATTTTTAATCAGAATGCGCTGGGAGGAACTGTGTGTGATGGGGAGCGCAGATAGGCACTGCAATGTGACATGCACACACACACACACACACGCAGGCAGTAAATCGCCCCATAGAGGCCGAGATGAGAATGCCGGCACCCTTGGCTTTTATTCGCTTCCTATAAACGTTAGCATGCGGGAGAGATAACATCAGTAATTGACTCTTGTCCTCCACGTCAATTTGCCGTAGTTAAGCATCTGCGGAGACATCCCCACAAAACACGCCTAACGATTATTACTCTAATTCATAATAAATGTTCATTCCAGAGACAAAGAAACCCCAAAAGCCT